AGGCCTACTCGCCTACTGAAAAACAATAAATTTCATACCTGCTCATCTTGTGAGCCAACAAGAATTGAAGGCGACCGCGGTGTGAGCTGGAACTTATCTTCAGCGGCTAAAGCAAGTTGCAAGGCACCGTTATAGTCTCCCAAACAAAAAGCGACCTGAAATGAACCATAAGCATAGACGAAAAAAAGATGTAATGAATACATAGTAGTGAAATGAGACCTTGGAAGCTAGAAGAGCAGCAAGATAACGCTGTTTAAAATGTTCATCCTCATGAAGTCCTTCGATGACGCTCAGATAGTCGGCCACTTCAAACCAAGTTGGTGTCAGAACATCCCAGTCATCTAATACCTCAATGATCAGTTCCTTTTCGCGCATCGATGAATGCTCACTTTTCAAAGCAAGCAAAAATGCACCTGAATTGAAAATTTTCCCTTGAAGTTTATTTTAAGGTGGTTAATGACCAGTCTATTTAATATTCTTATTTATGATTTTGTTGTTTTCGGCGTAACCACAGCATGCATTCCTATTCATTCTGATAATATATGGAAAATTTTTTCATGCTTTCGCAAATATGATGCTTCGCACAACCATTAGCAATTGCCTGTTGACAACAAACAAATTAAGTGCGACTCTGCTCTCACAAATTCTAAGAACCACATATTCTCTACCCTACTTTGCTGACCACGTTGTCTTTTTTGGTGAATATAAGCTTTAACACAGTTGGTGCAAAAATTACACATCAACTTCCCTAAGGGTTCTACTCTCCGACGAAATCGGAGCACTGACCCAGGTAGTAGCGTAACATAAATTAAATGGCCATGGCCAAGAATGCAGAATGTGGACTATAACACACTTGCGTTTTGAGCTCCACCCGGTTGATTCTTCCATTGATTCAAGAGATAGAGCGTCATCTCGAAAGCCTTCTTCCTGCAATATAAATAGTGCGTTTTTAAACCAACATAACAAACAATACTAATGTCGCGCAGTACCTTCATCCTATCACTTCCACTTACAATTGACTAACGCATTCATAATCTTATATTACTTAGCTTTGCTAATTGGTGAAAACACTTCAACGAAATTACTAAACACGGCTTCAAACCTATACGAACAGATCTAAAGTAATACAAGACCCCATTACCAATGCACCAATGCACAACCTAGCCTTCATCGACTGACATTAAAGTCTTCATTTACCTGAACATAGTTACCATTTTGTCGGATTCATTAAACATGAAGCCGGCTTACCATGCGAAACAGAATCACTCTATATTTTCAATAAACTGATGTGATTCCAATCACGTAAGCTCATATAACAAAACGATCCCTCATTTTAACCTGATAATTATAGTTTGAAAATAAATACGCCGTTCTGTTAACAGTAACGAAAACAAAATAGGAAAAAATGTTTCCGATTTTTATTAAGACAATGAAAGCATAAAACAATGAAATCACAAACATTATAAAAACAGCTTTATTAAGGAAAGAGTACTCCACACTACTGATACGGATTTTCTGGTTGCATTATATATCAAGAGAACGATGATCAAAAACTGATGTCATACGTAAAACACGGCATTCTGAATTGAAACTTTTTCGCACAAAAGTGCAGATTTTGAGTTTTCTCAGATTTTCCAAATAAATCGTGAAGTTCAGATATACAAAAGACTGCCAATGCAATTTTCGCTAAAAGTAAAAAATGAATTCAAGCCAAATTTATGATCAAAAATGGAAATGCTGAACATATGCAAATGTTGACACGTTTGATGTCTGAGGTAGTTTTTTTTTCTTTTTTAATGAAACTTAAATTGCATGATCTGGACTTCAATTTATGAAAGCAGTTAAACGTAATACTTGTGTATGACTGAAAAGAACAATGAAATAGAAAGTCCATATGAAAGACATAATATTAAATCACAACAATTCATGAATCAAAATTCATGAATCTAATTGCTTAGCCTTCAATACAGCGGGAACAGAGCTCGGAGGCAAGATGCGTAATTCCGTAACTAAGGCAGTTATCAAGTCGGCAGTTACAACTTCCTTCCTTTCGTCCATCAAATTATTTACTTCATGAATACCATGGGAAAATGATTGCACCTGTAAATAAATAAGATGGTCCATTTTCAAAAGAGAATAATATTCTCGTATAAATCTCAAAAACGGAAAAACTAATTGAAAACCACGTTGTACCGAGTGATATTTGAAACTACACACAAAACAAAAACTGCTGAATAGAAGTGAAACTTGCCCGATCAACAAATTTGCATGTTTGTGCAGCAATCAAAACTGGAATATTTGAGGCGGAAGCTACTAATGCTATTTGACTAGTCCCACGTTCTGCCACTACGAATCCATTTGACAAAATCGCTGAGCAACCCAACAAAACCATATGACACTGCAAAAGTAAATAAGTATATAAGGTTGATTTTAAAGTTTAAATGAATCTAACATTTTCCGAATGAAAAACTCAATTACATTACCACGAGTTTAACACAAAACCTTTGATCTTACTAAACCTATAATATTTCTACCATTAGAGACATTTAACACACCCAGCATTTAAGTCTAAATGTTTATTGAAAAACAGCTGACCTGTTTCATCAAATAGCCAACCGAAGAAAGCATACCATAACCGCACGGAATCTTCCGCTCACATAATGTCTTCACTAGTTGTCTTCCTGAAAACAAATATGAGTGCAGAGAAACACTACTTTCTTGAACGAACAATGTGATTCCCAATAAAATAATTCCAGCTAAGAAGTAGATGAATTTTTATTATATATTTTAACCTTTATATTCTATAGGAGAGTCCAAGACGTGCACATGAAAGAGCAATTTGTCGTTATGAGCATCCAAAATGATCCGTTCTACCACTGGACACCTGGATCATCACGTTTAAATAATGTGTTTCAACATGGACGGTACTCGAAAAACAAAGTCAACAAAAAAGACATTTCCTAGCAATATAGCTCAATTAAAAGCGCGTGTGACTCAATGAAAATTATGTATTTGGAATTCCGAAATTGCACTTAGAACTAGATTGCTGTCCATAAATACAGAACAGAAACGATATTTCGATAAAAGATTCGTCGTCGTTCTGATATTGTTGTGGCTTTAAATCCATTAAATATTTCCCATGAATTTAAAATTTTCTGAATACAAACCATGAATAAGTGAGCACAAAAACTGTGTTTTTCATCTTTTTGAGGCAAAATGAAGATATAGCTTGCAATGCGAGTTCGAAATTTTGCTGCAAAAAATCATCCAACCAACAATAAAGACGTCCTTTGCCCTGAAAAAAACATTTAAATGGTCATAGTCAATATATTTAAACAGACATAGTCTAAAAACTGAGAACAGCCAAATAATTTCGTAGCAATTTCAATGTGAATGTAATGTCTGATGCTTAGTATATATTTCACCTCTTTTCCTCAATTTTGAAACTTTTTTCTTCTATTTCAATTTTTTCGAACTCGAAAAATTCTTCCAAAATGAACGTGGAAGTAGTTGCAACCGCTAAACTTAATCGAGAAACTTCACGTAAACCGAAAAACTTTGTACAAGAGTCGGAAAAAACCATAAAGACACCGTTTACTGATGAGATAGGAAAACGATAGTTTGAAAGTTGTCGATTTACACAACATGCACTTAAGTAAAGGACTTGAGAGTCTTTGTCGACGAATCCAGGAATAATTTACTAACCAAATACAATTAAAACACTAAAAAAAAAATCGCCATATTTGATTTGTTTTAATTTTATATTCATCAGTAAAAACTGTACTTCTTGTTCAGAAACGGAATCCGGCAGCTGAATAATTTCTTTTTTTAACTGTTTTATCAGATTATCCAGTACCAGCGGAAATGAATACTTTCCGTTCTCCGTCATACAGCTGTAAAAGTAAAACATCAGCACAGAAAGTGAGATAAAAGTTTTAGTACAACTGGACTAAAAAAGATTATTTCCAGTGCTTTTAAAATTTAAATTAAAAAGACAGTCATTTACTTTAACTGCTGCCGAATAACCTGCTCGAGATCACGCGACATGACTTGATTTGGCGAAACAACGTAATCGGACAAGAACTGAAAAAAATGAATTACAAAATTTTATTTCTTTTCTTTTCCACTGAAAATTATTATTATCCTTTTCTTAACAAAAAAAATTAAACAAAAAATACAAAACATATTTACATTACTGTCTAGATACCGCATATCAAGATCAGAACATGGTGGATTAATACTCAATCATTTATTCCTCCGAAATATATGATTTGCCGGATAAAAACTGGATAAGTAAATTTCATAGTAAAAATTACCCGCTTGAAACTCTGCACAAATGCTACGCAAACAGCATCAACACCAACAATACGTTTTGCTTCACATCTGAAATACATGAATGTATCAGTGGAATTTTTACCGTTAAATAAGTCAAGTTATTAATTGATGGAAATGTTGATGTTTGACTACAACGTTTTTTCACTCAATATCCTATGCTTAACATCCGAATAATTCTAGCAGAACCATATGACAAACACGGAGCAAACTAATGATATGCTCTTAATGTTCCTTTTTTTTTAGCATGCAAGAAGAGCTTTTTTTTTCTCTATATAATTTTCTAAATTAAAGCAAAGGACCTGCTCGCGAACTCCAGAAATGAAGGATGTATATTTGGTGTTATCATTTCGGAGAACGATGGTTGTTTTGATGAGCTTTCTTCTTTCTCAGTATCCTTTGTCGTTAGATCTAAATAAAATTATCACTCATTCACATAAGCTTGTAAAAATAGATGGAAATATTCCATTAAGGCTATCACTGCCAAGAACCAACAAACAATGTTAATCCGGTAGTTTATTGTTATCCTCTTGATGATGTGACCGTACATTATACATGGCTGATTTCCTGCTGATATTTTTTTTTCTTTTTCGCAAGATCTCCTCCCGCAAGCTGATTTTTTTCTCAAGATCTCTTGCCACAAGTTCAAGATTTTAATCCACAAAAACCTCTTACTAATCCAACAGCAAACTGTTATAGTTTAGACCTATGACTAAAAAACATGAAAAAACCAATTCCATAACTGGGCACAATAAAAATTGATACATCTGTACCGAAATGAACAGCTCTGAAAGGCTGTGAGGATCGAAAACCACTCGGAAATCCAGGATCTTTCATAAGCTTGAATGGACTAACACGTTGCTGTCCAGTACCATCTGAAGTTGGGCATTCTCTTTCCCGATTCACTCTTTTTTCTAATACTTTTTCTCCATTCCCAAGCGCATTATTCTGCTTAAATGTTTTCTTTGCCTTTGCCGCAACAACTGAAATATGAAGACATTCACATATATTTACTTTTTAAGGACTGCAAGCAGATGATGAAATGTGTATTCATGAAAATCTAATTCTGTGCACTAATCAACAATGTTAGTGAACATATCACTTAAAAATCAGGGATAAACAGAGAGAGAGGGAAGAGAAAACACTGACCTTTTCTTGCCTTCGTTTCAGCAGCTTTAGCTTTACGTTCCATTTTGATTTCTTCTCTGGACCTACTGTCCTGTCGATTACCAGTCTGGTTTAATCCTTCCGGCATCTTTTTCAACTGCGATGAAGACGGTTTGTTCGTTTTGTCATCAATTTGCAAGTTTTCAATTTCTGCTACCAACTTCTCTTTCGCATCTTTCACCTTAAGATATGGAAAAAGGATGGTTTGTTTGGCCGCAAGAAATATGGCTACTAAAGGACTGATTCATTAATTTTGTTAATATCTTGTGAATTTATTTGAAGTTGAGTGCATACTTACATGATCTACATCGCTGGCTGACAACAACGACAGACATATCCTGAGGCAGTCTACGGCGACGTCGAATAGGCGCACCAATCCGGTAGCCACCTTATCTGCTCTCATCCCCTTAGGATTGCTAACCTAAAGTAAAACCATGTCTTCCTCAGGGCTTGACTAATATATCAGTTTACTGGACTCAATGAAGAATGCTCGGTGAATCAACCATTAAGATTTCCTCTTCCTTCTCGAGCCATATCTTTCAAAATAGACTCACCTGGTCATATAATGCGCCCTTCTTGTCTCCGTTGCTCACGTTCATTGTTGCACGTACAATCAATGATTACCCATACGTTATACTTACCAAACTAGACCTTTTCCAGCCCAAAAACATAATGTCTGTCCTTTTCGCTACACGCTAAACCCGCCCATTGCATATGCAATATGAAGGAGTGGTAGATCCGAGCTCGAAATACTCATTGGAAGATGTTTGGTCAGTTAGGAAGGCTTGAATTCTCACAGTGCCCGGCCTGTGGCTATTGAGTTAGCTGATTATAGGGTTGAAAGGATCGGTAAATTGGACGTATGACGCAGAGAAGGGAAGTAAAGATCATGATTGCTTCACATCCCAATCTCGGAGGGGTTGGATAGGTCTTCGGAATAATACAAGATCACGTGCCAGTCTAGAAATCGACTCACTCTTTTTGTTCTCTAGTTCCACTGCTGCTGCATAGGATGTGGAGAATGACATGAAGGCTGATCCATGTCAACTATGCATGTGTTCTAGTCCATCTGCTTAGATATACGAAGGATAATCCTCACTAATATGTCAATGAATGACTAATGAAATCAAAAAAATGATCGTCTCATCCTGATTGATCCAAGGTATTCTACGTCGAACAATTTTGTTAGACATATTCTTAGAAACCTTCCAAATAATTCGGTTATAAATTTTATTACACTGAATGGAGAGGATTTATGCAAATATCTTACGAATTTTTCCAAAATTCCCGTGTATGGCCAGTACCTGAAAGGGAAGAACCGATCGTATCCCCCAAAAAATGTTGAGAAGTGCTCCCGGAAGAAACATAATGAGTTTCCAGACTTTTGAAAACTTCATAGTGGTGCACATTTGAAATGTAACTTGAAGCGATTTGGCCAAAATTTGATGTATAAGTAAAAGTTGGAAATTCCCATCAAAGCAATGTATCACGAATGTTTTTCGAAGTACTCCGATTGCAACAGTCGGGTGAATAAGACAATACCTCGGGGGTTTAAACAAAACGAATCCGGTCGTTCTCTGATCCATCCAAGAAATTTCTTTTTGCTTATTTATTATCTTTATCGTTTAAATATGAAGCAGATCAGCCGTTGATGTTTGCACACACTCTAAAAAGAATCAAAGTTGCCAATCTTCTTACTATCAGTCAAGATCTGTGCACTGTTGTTCCGGCTTTTTCAAACATCTGGTGATCAAGGAATGCGTGTCCACTCATCTCTTCGCGGTTATCGTCACGTAAAGCTCCATTAAAATGTTGCTCTGCCAATCTCTGTCGATGAGAGCAGTGATGATTTGTCTTGCCATTAGCTGAAAATCTTTTGTGCTTTACTCCTGACCTTGACTGTTTGATTGTTTAGTAAGATCACCTGTCACGGAGTTATCTTTGTTTTATACTGAATAAAAAATTCTCAGTTTTTTATATATTCAGTCCGATCAATCAATCCAAATACATGCAGCGTAAAGGGGGTGATATTGGAAGGAAATGACTGTTTTGAATTGATCGAATGTTTTGTCAAAATTATATTTTAGATCATTTGGCAAATGTGCGACATAAAACCGCTATGCTTTTACAAAATGTTAGATATGGTGATCCTAGAGGTGTCTTAGACAGTTATAGAGACTTAGAAATTCCGTGAGCAATTAAAGTGATCTGAATGTGCGCTATGCTGTTATAGTGATCCTGGAGGTGTCTTAGACCGTTATGATGGTTCTAGAGGTGTCTTAGACAGCATCTATTTGCTAGTGTTTAGTTATATTCATTATTTTATGAGTGCTATTCATCTATTCTTTTCTCTTACATGCGGTAATTGAAAAAAAAAGAAAAAAGAATTTCAACATTGTGTAATACAAAAATTTCTGTCACGATATGATATCATTTATTTAAACCTGAAATGGAGACAATCCAATTATGTTTGATATCATCTCATTCCAATTCTTCAACGAAATCTCTCCTTCATGTTTTTGCTTTTGAAAAGAGATTTGATGTCATTTAAACGTTATACGTGTTTCTTACGTATCGCCTATAAACCAAACCTAAATCACTGCAGTGGCTCACATTCCTCTCTTTGTTTTGATGATATTACTAATGTATATTGTAATTATAAAATAAAATGTAATTATAAAATATTGTAATTATAAAATGTTTTTCTTCAATTTTAGCAATGTATGAATAGACTTCCTTAACAAAACAAAATTCATATGATTAATTAATGATAATTCCATTTGTGAAAAAAAAAATTATAGAAAGCAAAAATAACTCGATATATACTCATTCTCTCTGACTGTCGTTTAAAGAGATGCACAATTTTATTCAGTTGAAGTCTGTGATTTGATTCTGGATGAAATAATTTTTACATCTGAAGACATTACCTTGTTAGATGATTCATTCTCTTTCCACAATTTAAAATTTTATAAAATCAGCTTACTGTATTTTTTACTGATTTTTTAAGTGGCTCTTTGTTGGCTTCTGTTTATCTTGCTCATGACTTTTGGGCATAGTGGTTTTTGTCATTGTTCAGTTGCCATCTGTACAGTTTATTAAAATTGATTGATCAACTGATGAATGTGTTAGCGCAATGAATGTGTGAAGTTTCAGGAAATCTGGGATTCTATTCTTGTGAAGTCTTCAAGACCTACAAATATACTTCTGATTTTAATTCCATATTCACTCTTGGCTCTTCTCGTTCACATATTTTCTCATACCTTTTCTCATCTTCGTTTATACCCACCGAAGCAAAGTCGAAATTTACCATTTGCAATTTTGTTTCGCGATCTATGACCTTACTAACCGCGTTATGGCCATTTGATAAAACGAAATCTAACAAACTTGTTATCGAATGGAAACAAATCAATTATAAGTACTTGTTGATGTGGGATTGGAACTGCTTCAAAAAAATTTAAATGGCAGTACATATGATTAAATCATAACCGTTATTCGGTTATTACCATGCGAACTACCGCAGGAGGCATGAAAAATGGAAATCTTTAGCTTTTGTTTGGTTTTTTAAATATTGAAATCTGACGAATCAATTTTTAAATCGGAAGCTACGTCTTTTAGATTTCTCGGATATCTGCAGAAATCATCTGACATTATGTTTAAAATTCAACTTACCAGCAATGTTTAATGGATAGTAATGAGGTTTAAAATGATACGGTTATATGTTGTGATTTGTGGTATCTATTTTAGAGGTTCTCAAACAGAGAAATAGAACATTCAATTGAAGTCGCACCATCAACAAAAATAGCAAAGAAGCTTCGGCAATATGCAATGAAGAAGTCACATCCTCAAATGGCCAAAGTATCTAGACATTAAAAGTTGATTTAACAAATACTCTTGTTGAATATGCGCTGCATTTTTTGAGAGTAAAATCACGACAATGCCGCCACTTGCCATCATGATGAATGCGATGTCGATTGTTTTCGTCAAGAGCGATATTCCCTATGGCATTTCGCTCTCTTGAGGAAGTAATTTTTGTACAACTTTTTTACTGAGAAAATTATTTTCAAATATTTGTAATTAATTGTTGTTAATGAACAAACATGAGAAGGAACCAACTGTCAGCTTAATTAAGTCAGGTGGTAAATAATAATTTGAACTAAAGTTTCAATTATTGCTGACTAATCAAAAATTTATGTCCATACTGCATTAAAATGAAATACCTGAAAATTACTAAACTTGTTAGAACAGGTTTTGTTCTTTTCTTGTTCTATATGAAAAAAATAAAGAGTCCCTGAAAAAATCCCATTTCTCTTCAGTTGCAAAGTTAAAATTTTTTCCATGCATTATCTCATATAATAATCATTGTCTTATTCCTTTCTCTATTATACAGCTTGGCACAAAAAACTATAATAAGCGTAGTGACAAATGACACATACCTTCCCACTAATTTCTGTTCGTCAAAACAGCAACTGTGTCAACACTGAGATGTCATGTGTGCAAATCACTACACCCAGATGAATTAATTCTCTTCCAACAAAACTATGTAGTTTATTTCTCATTTTAATTCACTATAGCAGCCAAAGATAATGACAATACCTGAAAATGAAAAAAAAAATTAAAATTATTATTCATTTATTCAAAAGTGAGTGCTATCTTCAAAAACCAAGAATTCATTTTGGAAATTGATATCGAAACGATCAGAAGTACTACTAAGTTATACATGTTTACCATATCTAAAAGGCTGTTTAAGGTACTTCAAATAAGGTCAATACTTCCTAATAGAATAAAATTAAATAGAAAAAGAAATGGGTGTATCTCTCTTGTGTTTGTGCATTCAGTCTTCTTAGTGTTTCTTTAATGTCGTCCTTAATAATGCTTTTTGATCTAAACCGTTTTTTCTTTGATATCGTCCTTAATAGTGCTTTTTGATCTGAACCATTTTTCGGGTCATCCAGTATAGTCGCGTGAGGATTAAACTAATAGTAATCGAACTATCGTCATGATCTCCAGTACCGTGTTATCTTGACCACGATAGTTAGGACAATTAATTATATTCCTAAACTGATTTTAAAGTGATAACCTGATTGAATTGAACTTTCTTTTCAACTTCTTTTTTTAAGTAGAGTTAATGAATTCGAATGTTGTGTTCCATGTTGTCATCAATCATTTTAAGAAGTTCCTAAAAATTTTCAAAACTGAAATACTGAGCTTATTTCTTCGCCCAAAAGGATTCGTTATTTTCAACACCTTTTATTTATAATTTTTAGACTATTTCCTATTTTCTTGTAGTCCTACTAAGTGATAAGGTGGACAGTTTTAAAACTCTTGAAATTCTCCAATTTATGTAACATCCTGCCAAACTGGGTTTGCAAAATGGCGAGGACCAGATGCAAATTATCCTTAGAGGCGATGTCACAATCAACTCTTTTTCCTCTCTATCTCACGTACTTCTGAATCATCATGAACCAAATATTGAATTCCCGTAAAAAAGATACAGGGAGATTGTTGCATGTAAGACTGGGAACTGCCATCTTGGAGTAAGATTGTAAGAAGTCCCGTCGCCTTCGATCTGTCATGAAAATTCTCGAGAAAATGCTGTGCAAGTATAATAGGTAGGCAGCATTTGTTGAGTAAATCTGTTAATTGCTGATATCCGAGCGGCTGAATACCGGTTCATGCATCGGTTTCTCATATGTTGGAGGAGTGAAAGTCGGTCGTTCGCAGGGAATGGTTGCTGAAAGGAGAGAAGATGGGTAAGCTATAGGGGTAATGATTGGTTTCGATGACAAAGTCTATATTACACAACTCTGTCAACTTCCCAGTTTGCCATAATCGAGCGGTCGTCGGTCGGTTATTTTACCCTTGAATGTCGCAAGTCCCCCAAGATGATTTGTCTTTCTTCTGAAAGGGTATTTTATCTCTATTACTTTTTTATTTTTTGATGTTTTAAGTCTTTAAGTCACAGGTCAAGTGGAGAAAAGAGGTAAAATGGTTGATGTATGAGTAATTAATTAGACTTTTTCACCATCTAGTTCATTTTACGTCTGCAAGCTTTCTATATTAATACAAACTATTACTAGGTGTTTCGATCATATTTTTTGAAATAATTTTAAAAGATGTGAAAGGATTTGGAGTGATAAAAAACATCATAAACACTCAAGTTTTCTAAAAGCTAATTTATTGCGATTAAATAGAATTTTTAATTTAATGAATTTTATCTGTTCAGCTCTTTTTTCTCCTGTTGGTTCAGTTGTTCCATCTTCATTTGTTTTTGTGGCGGTTATTGTCATATGTCCGCCGTATTAAACAGCATTATTTGTTAAGTTTTAAAATAAACTAAAACGGTTCGAGCATTCCCATTCTATAAATCTTTCATAATATTATTTCTTGAAGAATCATTCTTTGTTAAAAGTACAAGGGTAACCAGAGGGTTTACACAGATTGGACATGATACTATCTTTCAAACAGGACGTTATTTTATAGGGGAAAACTATCTTCTCGTAAGGTGATCTTGGTATGAGTCATTTTTCTGTATAAGTTTATCAACAGATATTATGTAATTAGTAATTAGTAATTATTACAGTAATTCTTAGTAGTTACATCATATTCGACGACTTTATATAATGTTGTATGAATAATGTATGTGTGAATTAACAGAAATAATAACAATTGTTTATATAGTAATGAGGACAGTCTCTGCTACTTTAATGGTCATTAAGTTATTAAACTAATACTTATAGAAACAACCCTATTCCACTTCAGTTCATTACTAAATTATTACATATTTTCTATCCATTCATTCTACAGAAACAATCATTTTATGCATTGATTTGTATTCTTTTTTCAAAAAAAAAAAAGAAAAAATCCATTACATTTTGTGATTAACACTATTAGTTCTTACCTGTGAAATGATTCTTTTCATTTTTTATTTTTAATAATTGACCGAATAATACAAATTTCTTGCATACTTTAAATTTGCAGTAAATTAGTAGTGATGCCACTTACCAGTATCACTTAGGTAATTAAGGATGTAATGTTTCCACCTTTTATACGTAATACTTAAGTCGCGGAAATTTTTTAATTGGAATGAAAACTTAGCAAAATTTAGGGTCATCAAGCAGCAGCAGCAACAATAACAGAAACAATGACGAAGCGTCGTAGTAGTCAACCAGATATTCGTAGTAGGACCGACAGTCAGTCTAGTTTAATGCGTCGGAGGAGCATTACGGAAACGTACCCAAGGCCTTCTGTTTTTGGAGGACGTACGTATTAAGTTGACATTTTTTTCTGCTCTTTATTCTTTTATTAATTGCATTTGTATGCTGATATATTGCCCCATTTATTATATTACTTAGTTCCCCATCTAACAGTCATATCTATTCATTGACAGCTTTTTCACTTATTTCATATACTGACAGATAGAATACCGTCATTCCAAAGTAACAAGTAATATAATTAAATTGCTTGGGAATTCTTGACAGCTTCTTATATAAAGTAAAAATAAGGGCTGCTTTTCGAGTTATATAAATTTATTACAGAATACCAGATAAGGGGGCGATTTATTTTAAGAAGCATTTAAATTATAAATTTCATTTCCTTATCAGTATTCTAATGAATTACCACAAAAACTTTTTTTTTTTTTTAGATGACTTATTGCTCGATCCTCTTTTCACTGTTCAATCCATGCAAGTGGGAAATCATCCAGAGAGTGAGCCTCTTTTTTGCTATTTGAAGGAGTATATCGTAAAATTCCTTGCTGGGTTGCATTTCTAGAAATAAACTGTCCTTTGCGCTCAAAGCGCTGACGCAATAAAGCTTGTTCATCCTTCACCATAATTCTCCCTTTTTACGCCTGCAAAATTTCAATTTTCGAAAAAATTTGAATCCTTAATTTGCAAAAATCCAAACAATTTCAATGAGATATGGCTAGGAAAAAATTATGAACTATTTGGATTTTCCGGAGTTTCAGGTCCAATACATAATGTTCGGGAGCTTTTGGAAGCGAATTTAGAGGAAACTCCATTGATTTATACCGAAATGCTGGATTTGGACAAGGATGATAAGGCCAGAAGACAATGGAAACAAATTGCCAGGTTAACTGCATTTTGCTTATTTTCCCTTTTGAAATAAATTATTTCAATAAGATCTGATTAGTGTCACTTTTTCATCATCATCATGATCAAAGTTCGTGAACGAAAATATGGGAGGGATTCTACTCACACTTGCTTCAAAAGCGCTGATGGTTAAAAATGCTGATGCTGGATAGGCAGTTCTGGTTCAAAAGGCATAGCAGCAAGCCTCCTTAGGCAGTGTTGGTAAAGCACAGTTCTTTCTGCGTTCTGTTTTCCCCTCCAGGTTGATTTTGTATTCTCAAAGAATCAGCAACGTTATGGATAATGTGTGTCCATGTCTCCCAGTTCGAGATCAGAGCGGACCATTGATGATAGGTTAATGTGGCCAATGCCGAAGCATTGTTTCCAGGGGTCTTTATATCTCTCCTCTTTGGGACTGTTTTGCGAAAGCCGGCGACGGGTTCACCGTAGAGCACAATCTAGGGAAGGGGAAGGAGAGAGGGGGAGGGGATGATCCTTCATCCTGGAGATGTACCCTCCTTGCGCAGCTACGTTCTCAGTTCTCAGCAACATAGCTTCAGTACTGGTTACCGCTCCATGTTCAAGAACGGGTACATTAGTCATGTAATCAGTTCAATGGATATTTAGGATCGTACAGAAGTAAGCTTCGAGGAGTCACAGATGGTAGCGGTAGATGACCCGTGATTCAGACCCATATAAAAGAATAAGCG